TATCGCCCTGATGACGGAGGCAGTATGACCTCTGAAACGTTGGTTAACATCGACCATACTACACAGCGCAACAACCCAGAAGACAGAAATCTTCATACTAAAAATAGCCCTGATGATGGAGGCAGTATGACCTCTGAAACGTTGGTAAGCATCGACCAGACTACACAGCACAACAACCCAGAAGACGGAAATCTTCAGTTTTGAACCAGTTACTTCCGAATACGAAGTAGAAACGAGTAGTTTGATGCAATGGTAACGCTTTAATATTGTGTTTTGGAGGTTTGTGGTTCGAATCTTGACCAGGTTACCGGCTGCCCTCAATTTCCAGAGCGTGTTAGGGTGAATGCAGGAATACTGCTGTCAAAACGGGCTAGAAACGCAGTGTTCATATTTGTACGTACTGGTTATCAGATTAGTTTCTGGAGTTGACTGTGCTGTCAGCTTTCTCATAACTTTCCTCTATCCGTCCCACTAGTCTAATACTGTAGTTCAATCAGTAATTATTGACTTATTGAGGTTAATCAGGTTATGCAAAATTTTTGTGTGTGTTTCACATCTCACTCATGTATTTTACAGGCATTGCCATTTTGTCTTCCTTGCTTTCATCAAACTTTTAATAATTGCTGATGAGAACAAATTGTGACACTTCTCATGGAGTTTTCTCCGTATTCCTGTCACTTCTATTTTCTTAAATCCAAATATTCACTTCAGCACCCTTTCTCATATACCCTTAATCTGTGTTTTTCCTTAATGCAAGGGACCAAGTTTTACACCCATACAAAATAGCAGCTAAAATTATTTTTGTATCTTCTTATTCTTAAGGCATTTCCACTTGTGCCGGTTGTCCCACCGTTGCTCCGTAGTTTTGTGTGCCGTACTTTAACCATTACATTTGTAGGTGGGTGATGGGAAGAAAATATTTTGAACTGAATGGTAATGTGCATCCCCCAAATTTAATATTTTCTTAATTTATGTCAATGTAATTTTTGGATGAATAACGTCACACACAGACAAGAAAACATCTTTAACCTTATATCCCTTATAAAATAAGAAAAACAGATTTATTTATTAGTGTATATACTGATCTTTTACCAGTCTTGTAGAAATCTGCTGCCATCATCCAGTGTATATACTGATCTTCTACCAAAGTCTTGTAGAAATCTGCTGCCATCATCTTTGATGTTTAAGCTGGAGGTTAAACATCCCTCTGAAATGTTGGTAAGCTGGTAACCGTTTACATCTCTGTTCAGTGTTGCAAGTCAGAAAAGCACAATCTAAACTTTCATTGCCATGAAAACATCAGATCTGATATTTGAATTGTTCAAATTAGTATGACATCATGTGGGAAAATTCAAATTATTTAAATATGTGAGTGGTATTTCCAGTGATGATGTGGAGATAACTTTTTAAAACTCCACAGAATGTACTGTAAATTATAAAATCCCCGGTGAAATTAACTTCAACTAGAATGTAATAATGTGCAATTTCCGCCTGACAGTTGTTAGGCGAAGAGATGACAGCAACGCTATAATGAACGCAGGAAGTGACTAGAACACTTCACTTTATGTGTAACTGCTTGTTTTATTAAATGATGTCATAAAAGTTAAGTTCAATACCATGTTAACAATCATAATAAATGGGGTTAGGACAGCATTTTCCTTATAGTCAGTTATGTAAGTATGTCGTATCATTAGCTGCCAATGTCAAGTCTATTGTCACACTTTGGGATAACAATGAACAAGGATGTTCATTGTTATCTATTGACATTGTACATAGCAAATTATTTTTTAGCTTTTGAAATTGAGCTAAAGGACAGATACGATTATGTACAAGGAAAATGTGGTGTGTGCAAATGAAGTTTGTGTTTTTAGCAGTTGTTGCTTACATTTTAAAGTTAACCATGGCTATTAGTTTTTAGACCATAAGACGTTTACATGTTCTAATGTCAGGAGAATATAAGCAGATGATAAAGGCTGATTAATCGTGATTTTATAATAGCATTTGCAGTGATAGTAGTAAAATAAAAATAAAAGTCTTCATTATCACCATCTTTGCCTTCTTTCCGAACATTAGGCCTAAGTTGCTTGTAAGAAGATTGTTTTTGTGTTTTTAGAGGTAACTCTTAACACATTCCTCAGGCTTCATAGATAGATAGAATGAAAGGGGCCCATACTCATGTGACAAGAAGGGGCGATACTTTTAAAGTTTTTTATTTATTTATTTATTTTTTTTCCTGAATCTATACCAGTACAATGAAGTCAAAGTTAACCTTATTTAACCTGCTGTTCTTCCCTCATGTTTAGTACTAGATTTAATTTTTTTCATTTGTATGTTTTACGAAAAGTGGTGCAGGTATACCGTACGCTGAAAAACAAGCTTGAGTTTGTGTTTTCAGGTAATAGCATTATAAACAGTTAACTAAAAAATTAAAAAACTATGAATCAGAATTTTACTTGAGAAGCTAATAGTACACTCAGCTAGTCAAGAAATTTCACACTTTTTATGGAACCTGAAGGTTCTTTACTTTATTCACAAGAGCCTGCCTGATTGTTAGAGACAGCAACTCTTAGTAGTGGTAATTTGTAAAGACTCTATTTTCTTGAACTGAAGATATTGTAAAAATCTACAGATTTCTTTATGTTTATGTGGCAGACGTGTGTAATTAAGTGACCACATTGTCATCCTCGCCAACATGAGAACCTCAAATCTCGCATATATAATTAAAGTACATGCAGACTTCTGACAATAATTGTTGTATTGAAAGAGTTTAATCAAATGTTTGGAGACCAAATGTGTGATGAAATCTCAAGAACCAATTAAAATTCTTGAAATTATCTTATAGAATGGAAGTAAGCAATTTTATCCCCAGAATGGTGCAATAATGCTTATGTGGTGGGAAAATGAAAATCTAACCCAAGCTGTGTGAAATTAGGAGGTTTTCACAAACTCATGTACTTGAACAAACAAACAAATACTACCCATTTAGCAGAGTCGTTCCTGAGAAACTGATAGTATGCACAGCTAGTTAATAAGTTCCCTATCTTTTTTGGAAACCTGAAGTTCATTACCATGTTCACAAGAGCCAATTGCTGTCTATTCAGCCAGATGAATGCAGTTCACTTCTAATAACCTTCTCCCCCACCTGAAATCAAGTCTTCCAAGTGGTCTCTTCTGGTCTGGCTTTTCAGCCGCAATTTTGTATGCTCCCATATACTGACATTTATCATGATCCAGATTATTTCAGTTCATCAGCTTGGCCATCATCCTCAGAAATCCATTTCAGTATCTTCCTTTATAAAACATGATAATGGATGTTGTTTACAATCATATTTAACACTCAGACAATTTATGATGTAATGAATCTGTAAAAGGAAATTTTTATTATGTCTTTACCTTTTTGTAAGATTATTTGACTTCTTTGTTGCAGGAAGAATACGTTGCAGAAAACATTAAATGGACTGCAATCGATTACTTCAATAACAAAGTGGTGTGTGATCTTATTGAGAGCAAGCGACCTCCAGGACTGTTTTCGGTGATGGACGATGTCTGTGCAACCATGCATGCTGTTTCTGAAGGTGCTGACCACGATCTGCAGAAGGTTAGCTGACTGACACGTGACATATGACACATTACAGTGCAATAGATGTGTGTCTTTTCATTTGACATTTTGCTTCATAGTGGTTGAAACTGACAATATGTACTTCTAAATTTCAAAAGCAGCTTGAATTTAACAGTTATTATAACCTGCCAAATTAGATGCTACAAGCCTTGGAAGAATTGCTAGGCATATTCTTAAAAACTGTATCAGACAAGAGAGACTTTTATATAAAACAAAGTATTTTAGATGAAATTTTCTTTTGGTTATGCCATTGAAAGTGATGTGGCATCATTGAGAAAGTAAACTCGTAGATGGTTTCTATTGTGCTTTAAGTAGTGGTAATAATAAAAATAATGTTAAATGTTTAACACAAGAAATGCATTATTTGACTTTAATATGTTCCAGAAACTGACAACAGCATCAGGCACACATCAACACTATCAGTCCTGTAAAGAGGGTTTTATCATCCACCACTATGCTGGTATTGTAACTTACAATGTTGAAGGATTCTGCGACCGCAATCGGGACGTATTATTTCCTGATTTGGTGGAGCTCATGCAGAGCAGTTCTAAGTAAATGCATTTTTATTATTAATTTATAATATTAGTGTTGGTATGTGAAAATAAATATTTAATACACATCACATTACTCTTTCTAATAACTCACACTGAGATTGTGCTGCCTTCCACACCATTTTTTTTGAAGGAGGGGACATGCAATTTATGTAATATCATGTTTGTCTTAACTTTATGTGAGGGAGTGAAATGTAAGCAAAGTTGAAGGTAACTATTAGGGTTGTTGTGCTGTGTAGTCTGGTAAGAGTTTACAGACGTTTCAGAGGTGCTTGCAGGGTGATGAGTTTCGTTACTCTGAGATTAGAGTCAGCAAACATCAAAAAATTCTACCAGACAAAATGACACATCCCAGAAGACAGTTATCTTTGTGTTGCTTTATTGTGAACCTGAACCATCACACAAGCAAAGGTATTAGAGAAATTTCAAGAAAATTACCATTTTGTGGTTCAACAATTATGTAAAGCACTCTTAATTGATGCTGTTAGATGAATATTTAACAGGACGTGTAAATACAACCTGGGATTTTTTTTTCTGGGAGAATCCAATCACAACATATTGGCCCTCTTTTCATGAAACTAAATGTTTTATGTATTACTTATTGAAAGATATATTCATATTTTTTGTATTGCTTTTTGTTATTCACTTCTCCAGAAAGAACATTTTATTTTCAAAATTTTAAAGTTTAGGCTCTGTCAATTTAACTTTGTAATCATTATCAGTTATACAAGAGTAAATGTATATTGTGTGGTGTTATTATGTTATGTGACATTTATTGAAAAATGGGAGCATACTAAAAGTGCCACATAAAATAACTGATGGTAACAAATTTCATAACCCCCACATGGAGTTTGTGTTACAGTCGTAAGATCATATGTACATGGCGTTTGTGTTACAGTCGTAAGATCATATGACTGCCATGCTGGTACTGTCAAAAATAGGAAATTAAGTCAGGAATGTTGCATTTTGTCTACTGGCAGCACAGCAGGTTCATTGGTTAAAAGTGACTGGTAGGGAATAGATACACTGGGCTTGTAATCCTGGGGTCTCAGGTTCGATTCCTGGTGGTGCCCGACATTTCCAAATACCCATGCATGCGCGTGCGCAAACATACATATGGATGCAACACCACAACTGTCTTTATTCTAGTCCAATAAGGGAAGTAGGCTTAAACTATGAATTAAATTTGTTGTTTGCAGTGCATTCCTTTGTAGCCTGTTCCCTGACCAGATTAACACAAACAGCAAGTCTCGTCCCACCACAGCTGGCAGCAAGATTAGAACTCAAGCCAACAAACTTGTGGATGAATTGATGAAATGCACACCTCACTACATCAGGTGATGGAACTTTCATTAATAAAGGAATTCAGTCAGAATTTATTATGTGGTTGATACCATCCAAAACTGGAATGTACTTATGTCTTGGGGTGTTTTTCTTTGAACCTAAGGTCTTACATTTGAATTAGTTGTTACTGTGGTCAAGAATTTAACATTAAATCTTGGATGTGATGGCAGCTGAATGACCTTGTTACATCCTTTGATCACATTTAAGTATTCTTAGTTTATTGTCTTTTCCTTCATTCACAATATTTCAGGAGACACAGACAATTTATTTATGTTGTGATTTGACTTATTTTATTTGATATTTTCAGATGCATTAAACCTAATGAAACCAAACGTCCAAGAGATTGGGAGGAGCTGAGGGTGAAGCATCAGGTTGAATATTTAGGGTTGAAAGAAAACATTCGTGTTCGTAGAGCTGGATTTGCATACAGAAGACCATTCAACAAGTTTCTTCACAGGTTCGCTTTGTTACAGTTACATTTATATTGTACATATAAATAATATGACTTCAATTTAAATGATCTAGAATATGCGTTAGCTCTTTCCTTGACCTTAGCTTGAAGTCATTCATGTATATCATATTCAATCAACATTATACAGGTATGCCATCCTGACCAAAGAAACTTGGCCTTGCTGGAAGGGTGACGATAGAAAAGGAATAGAGTGGATTATGAGAAGTGTCCACATGGAGAAGAGCCAGTTTCAGCTTGGTAAAACCAAGGTGTTCGTCAAAGCTCCAGAATCTGTGAGTGTGTGCAGTAAATTTTTATGATACAGACTTAGACATGTGACGTTTAGCCATCTACTAACTCCGCCTGAAAGCTGACATTATCCTTATGGGTTCAAAATAAAAGTGTATAAAAATTGAATAAAATGTGAAAGTACAGGCTGTATGGCAAATATCCTATTGGCTTAATAAATAATTCTACAGCCTCTTCTGGTTCTTAGAAATCATACGGGAAGACAAAATATTTTGAATGCTATTGATATGTTAGGGTTGATAAATTGTAAACATTAATCCACATTACCTTATATACTTGAATGATTCAGTCAGGATGACACAGAAGTTGTGGTTATAATGTAGTTAGAATAAGGTCCTTGTAAAATTGCGAAGTTTTGGGAATATGTGTAAATGATAATTATACCAAATTTTTTGCGGTGCAGTATTACACCCTATCAGATTATAGCAGACTGCATGGTTCAGTAAATTCTGGAATTTAATTTGAAACCATCAGTTTCCATACAAGCAGTAAGATTGAAATAAGTAAATTATATGCTTTATGAATGTTGACAACATATTGTTATGTTGCTTTAATTAAACACAGCTGTTCATGTTGGAGGACCAAAGAGACAGGAAGTATAATCACTATGCAAGAGTAATTCAGAAGGCATTCAAGAAGTACTTTGCTCGCCGTCAGCATGACAGACAAAAGGAAGAAGCTGCAAGTAAGTGGCTCAGATAAGGTAAAGTAAGAAAATTTAATGTCTTATATTGATGTAGATCAGTTTTCCTATTACTTTGTTGTCATGCTAGCCAGTGAAAATGCAAGAAACTTTTTTTGTGCATTATGCCTGATTTGAAAGCTTGTAGTTAATTTACTTTTTAATAGATGTCAGTGGTTGATGTCTGTATAGAAAGCCAAAATGTTAGGCATTTTGACAAACATAATTATCTCATTAAGTTAAACAGGAACAGCAGTACTATGTTTTTTTTCTAATTAACTTCATTTTTGCATAACTTATGATCTTCCAGGCATTCAAGACTGAAAATATAAGTACAAATTTACAATGTAAACTGTGATGTAGGTATACATGGTTTGTCAGAGTGCATTGTATTATTAACATACCAGGTCATGTACTGTTTCTATCTAGATCTGATGTTTGGTAAGAAGGAACGGAGGCGATACTCAATAAATCGCAACTTTGCTGGTGACTACATCGGTCTTGATTCGAGACCCATCCTCCAGAGCCTTGTTGGTCGGCGAGAGAAAGTGGCATTTGCTGAAGTGGTGAAGAAGTATGATCGGCGATTTAAGGTGAGTTATACTGAACGATAAAAATAAGGGGTTGAAAGTCATAGGTGTGTATGAAATAAAAGTGGATATATGCCTTATATGTGACAACTAGTCATGGGTTTGATTCCTGGTAGGATGACCTGATATCAAGCAATCATTTTGGTTTATGTGCTAAGAGGAGGCTTAAAGTTTTACATTAGATAGCACCTTCTTAATCAGAGTTTATAATTAAAATATATTTGAAATTTGTGAAGTATGTAAGCTGTAATTCTACGACATGGGACCGCCGCCTTTACTTCCCCTCCGAAGGAAGTTGTGCTACAGATTTTTATCACCATTAAAAATCCATCGACCTCGGCTGAGATTGAACCCCGCAAACCTTAGGTCCAGTGGCGAGCACGCTAACCACTAGTCCACATAGGGCAACCTTGAATATAATTATATAGACAAATATGTTTCCATTACTTAAATACACACACACACACAGTGTAAGAACTGTATTGACAGCACTTTATACCAGATTTGTTTCAGAATGGAGACAAATTTAAAAGTTGCACAGTTTGTATAAGATTTTTTCATTTGAAAAGAAAGACATTAAATATGTAATTATGCCTCTGATTTATTTTCAGGCAGCTCGCAGGGATCTGGTATTGACATCTCGCTCTATTTTCTTAATTGGAAGAGAAGCAATAAAGAAAGGACCTGAGAAAGGGAAGGCTATTGAAGTGATGAAGCGAAAATTAGACTTCGAAAATATCAGCCATGTGTCACTTAGTGCATTGCAGGTATGTGGTTGCAATGGATATCGCCTGTATGTTAGACAAGTTGCAGGATTTAGAAAACTAAGTGTAGCATTAACACAAGTAGTAGAATGATAACAATATGCATTATTTCATTTACAGTGGTTATTATTGTATTTAATATAAACAGTGGGCCAAAGAAAAAGAGCTGTCAGTGTAATGGTATGTAGTCACTTCATAATAGATATAACCCAAATCTCTCGTCTGTCTGTCTGTCTCACTCATACACACACGTGCACAACCTTTCTTTACTTAATGAGGCTTTTTTTACTTTAAATCTGCAATAATGATGATGTATCCCTAAAATGTCGCCAGTACTCAGTTGTTATTATTTCTAGCGAAGACTGTCCATACTGCATTTGTGTCACAGTGTAAAGTGATGAATTCATTTTAGGATGACTTCTTGATTCTACATATGAAAGAAGACTATGACAGTTTCCTTGAGATGGTATTTAAGACAGAGTTCTTGTTGTTGCTGAGCAAGAAGTACCATAACCAAATAGGACGTGATATCACAGTCAGATTCTCAAACAGGTGAGGAGGGTGTTTTATTAATCTTCAGGTTGAAATTTTCAAAATACTTTCTCAGCTGCATAATTCATCATAATGATCCTCAACTGATGTTTCCAGCAGGATCAATTATTCTATGGCAAGACCTCCTCCATTTTCCATATCCCGTCATAAGCACTCCGCTTATGTTTGTGTTCACTTTTTCCATACTTTAATTTGTATGTTTCCTCACTTGATTTCTGTGCCTACTTTCATTTACCTGTAGTGGTCGTTTATTCACCATCTTAATTTTTATGCCCTCAAACGAACTTAATTCTAATTGTGAAATGCATATGTATACGACTGTATTCTTAATTTAAGCAATTTATGTAATGTTTTGGATTTTATCCCATCTTGTTTGTTTCTTGCATATAGCATCAAATGGGAGGTTGTTTGTGAATGATGAATTTGAAGTGATCCGGAAGGAAGCAGGCATGCCCAATTTTAAGGCGCTATCCCAGCATGCTTGGAGGAACTGAAAAATCCTCTAACAACCAGTCAATTTAATGTTTATGTTTACAAGTGTATGGTTACTATTATATCACATTGGTACTAAAGTTACCATTATAAACCTACCTCATGATGTCAAAGATAATTGAAGTAAAATACAAAATAGTATGTTACTTTTTATATGTTGTTCATTAAAAATGTCTGTGGTGTTATTACATTTATAGGTATGAAACTTTTAATAGATATCAGTTTTACTTTCTTAGGGCTAATTTTAAGAATATGTAGTGTCTTATCCGTGTTGTCATATGCATTTTGTTGATATAGTATGTGCTTCACAAGCTCTTCTTACCTATTAAAATTCTGTGTGACATCATGTACACATTTCTTTTTCCATGTTCTAAAATTAGTATTGATGTTGATTGATCAGTCAGTATAAATGGGTGAGCACAATAGAACTTAAAATTATACAGAAAATGAATGTGGCATTCTTAGAACTTCACACCTTCAGTAATTGACAGAAAAACTCTCAAATTTTATATATACTTCACAGAAACTCTATATGTGCTCTGCGAGTCATGGCAGATGCCAAGATAATAATCCGACTTGTCATAAACTTTGTGCAGGGTGTCCCCACTGCATACTTTCTGCTCAAATTTCTTGTACCAGGCATAAATGAATATTTGGCTGGATGGTTCCATATGAAATTGTGTGCAAAATTCACACTCCACAGCTGTTACAGACTCTTTCTTCACTAATTACAGAACTCACCAACCTCCTCTGTTGTGGGGTAGCCATTTTCAAACCTAGTTTCATTTAGCTGATGTGCGCAACAACAATCAGATGGGTCATTTTAAATAAAAATTTGAGAGTTTATCTGTTGACTGGTGTGAAGTTCTTAGTACACTGCATATGTTTTCTGTATCATTGTGAAAGTGTAAAGTCTTTTTATTTATCATTCTGTATTTTCCAGTAGATGTTTGAAGTGAAAGCCTTTTGTTTCAGCTTCTTTTATGTTTGATTTGAGGTTTTTGTGGCAGTGAATGTGTGGTCTTTGGTCTTCTAGTTTGTGATGATGTTTTATCTTGTAGGTGGTTAACAATTCTTCTACCCTGAAGATGGAAGCAGTATGTCCATCCTAAATGCTGGTGACAGTCTGTCTAGAATACCACATTCTATGTTTTTGTGTTCATTTCTCTGAAAATTTTTGTCTGGAGCATGTGTTATTCACTGGTGTAGTACACTGCATTGTTTTCTGTATCATTGTGAAAGCGTAAAGTTTTTTTATTTCTCATTCTGTATTTTCCAGTAGATGTTTGAAGTGAAAGCCTTTTGTTTCAGCTTCTTTTATGTTTGATTTGAGGTTTTTGTGGCAGTGAATGTGTGGTCTTTGGTCTTCTAGTTTGTGATGATGTTTTATCTTGTAGGTGGTTAACAATTCTTCTACCCTGAAGATGGAAGCAGTATGTCCATCCTAAATGCTGGTGACAGTCTGTCTAGAATACCACATTCTATGTTTTTGTGTTCATTTCTCTGAAAATTTTTGTCTGGGGATTGTGTTATTTTTTATACATAAAGTATGTATGAGAAATAAGATTACATCATGATATGTCTACATAAATTAGTAATCATGGATGGTGAAAGAAATTTAGCAATTAATACTGTTGGAATTGGTTTCAGCCTGGATTTCAGGGTGAAGAAGGAAGGTTGGGGTGGTGGTGGAACTCGTCAGGTTAAGTTTGTATCTGCAGGAACATCAGACATGGCTCTTCTCAAACCACTGGGCAAAGTTCTTACTGTTGTAATTGGCCCAGGATTGCCCAGTAATTCTAGTAAGTTTTTTATTATTTGAAAAGTAACTTGGATTTGATTCACAAATGTGGTATACTGAACATTTAACAAAAATCATAAAATGTGTGAAGGAGGGTTTCTAGTAGAATAGACTGCCTCACATTCTAGATTATACTGTAATGTGTTTCAGGTAATACAGTTTACGTGTTATTTAACTTATTTTCAATTCAATTAATTTATTTACGTGTTTGCCAACAGCAAGAAGCCAGTACTTATAATCACCTACGTCTCTGCTTATCTCTGCCCAGTGTATAACATGTTTGTACTCTTACTGGTATTATAAAACATTTGTTTCTGGGTTGATATATTAAACTTCTCTGTTTTTTTATTCCTCCAATCTGTTATATTATTTCAATATTTTCTTTCGTACATGTTCTGTATCATATGAAATCTTTTCCTTGAAAAAGCCATAATTATGTCATTATTCATTCTTTTTATTTTTGTGTGTAGGTATGGACACATTGTAACTTGCTGCCTATATCATGAAACCCATTTCAACTGATTAATCTGCTATTCCTTGTTGATATTCATCATCTCTTATTAGTCCATTCTGTGCTCCATCTTTACTGATATAGTGACTTTGGCCCTGAAAATACTTTATAAATTTGAGATCTCCTGTGTCTTGAGACTAATGAAGGTTTGAAAATTTGGTTTAAGATAGCCAGGATTTTGTAAAAATATATATAATTTGTGTGTTCTTAGATTACATCTAGGATGTACTATGCGAAATCACATACAATGGGCTTGTTAGTGGCCATAGTACCAGTGAGATATAGTCTCACTCCACTGCAGCATTAACTTGCTGGAAACTTCTGCAGGGGAGGAAAAAACACACCCGATAAAAATTAGAGGCAGAATCTCAATGTAATAAACATTTTCAACTCAGAGACAGCATTTCACTGTATTTTTTCAGGGTACTACATTTTAAAATTTTATCTGGCAAGGGGAATGCTTTTTTGTAAATATTCTACTAGATACCCCATATATTGCTCATAATTTTTTGTGGTTATTTTTCTTCCTTTTGTTTACCCACAGAACCCATTCTGCAGCGTGTAGTTGTGGGAGGCAGGCAATCGAGAGTTCAGAGAAATAACATAAAACAGGAACTTGGTACCCTGAAGCCACAAATAACACCTCGACAACCCGGAAGTTCACCTTCAAGACCAGCACCACGATTGCCTTCATGCTCTGCTCCCCGCTCTAGTATTAGGGCACCTCCTCCCCCAAGTGAGCCTGCACCGCCAAACCAACCTACTGTTCGCCCAGGCTTCAGGCTTCCACCTTTCAGTATGCAATCAGATTTTTTATCACAGTAATGTACATAAAATATAGCAATAAGAGATTTCAGTGTCTCGTCAAAGATCTGTGTTATAAATATATCTGTAAGTTTTCTTTTTCTGTATGAAACTTGTGTGAATCTTGGTTTCTGGCATGAAATGAAGAAGACAGATTAAGGGTGTTTGAGAAGAGGGTGTTGAGGAGAATATTTACATATAATTAGAAGAAAGTGTCAGAAGGCTGGAGGAAACTGTACAAGGAGAAGCTTATTCATTTTTACTCTTTACCAAATATTATAGAATGATTAAATCAAGGGGAATAAAATGGGTGTTGCATGTGGCATGTATGGGGAAATGAGAATTGTGGACAGAATTTTGCATAAAAAGCATGAAGGGATCTGAACTATTGAGAAGACGTAGCTGTAGATGGTAGGATAATATTAAAATAGATTTAAAGTAAATGGGGTGGAATGATGTCATATGTGGACTATTTATCTGGCTCAGGATAGGGATGAATATTGGGTTCTTGTGAACACAGAAATCAACCTTTGCAATTAATAAAAGTGGGGAATTTCTTGACTATCTGAACAACTATCAGCTTCTCAAGAAGGATAATTTACAACAGAGCATGTTAGTGTAAAGTTTATACATGATGAAAATGAAATTTGCCCAAAATTATCAGAGTTTATCAAAAACTGTTACAGTAATTTCTAAGATGAAATGTTCTTATGACCTCCCTGTTAATTTTAAGTACTTCGTGCAAAGAATGAACTGAAATATATTTTCTTGAAGAAAGATGATAGTAAGACAGTTCAAGTTAATTCTGTAATTAATTTATATTTATTCATTCGTTGCTATGTACAATAATGGGCGCTAACATTTTACACCAGGTCCCTCTGTGAGCATATAAGTGTACTGATTTTGCAGTACAAGATAGATTGTGATGGTGGAAGGTGGATGGATCTAGCTGAGTATCATCTTCAGTTGTGGGCTGTGGTGTCAAGGTGTTAGTACCTTTTGGGTTGTACTACTGTCCGCAGGAGTTAAGTAAATACCTGTGATGTGGGCAGCGTGATAGGCAAGTGATATTTGCATGTGTAACTCCTCTCTTCCTGAGTGGAGAACATTAGTCTTTATTGTTCAAAGATATTTTTCACGTGTGTTTCTTGATTTCTGCTGCTACACTGTTTGTAGTAGTGGTGGCTCAGACTTTGATGATTCCAGTGATTCAGAATGTGACTGCATTTACACTACCCTTGGATAGAGAATCCAGTGATTAATATGCTGTATTTTTATTAATATTTTGTTTTATTTTGATCCCAAATTAAAATATAAGCTCAGTGATACAAATTTAGAATAATACTGTAATGAATTTTGTCATCCGCAATTAAATATACAATTAAAATAATGCAGCTGTCATTTATATAACAATAAGTACATTGTGAAGCTTATGAAGAAGGCGGGTGAGTGTTTATTTGGAATCAAACTGTATTTTACCCATGAAATTTACATGAAATCAGAACAAGTACAATGTTTTTCAGTCTCTTAGTGAAGAAGCACATGACTTCCCAGGTCCTCTTCAAAAATTGTGATCCTAATCGTGTTGTTCCATAGGTGGTGGGTCAGGAAATGCTCCAGGCCAGGTACCAGTCCTACCAACTGCTTCAGTTTCTCGATCAAAACAGCCAGTTAAAACCATTAATCATCAAAACTTTATGCAGACACCACAGGCAGGCGTGGCTGGGTGAGTTATGTCGCATGTTTCTTGATCTTGAATAACTGCTTTATTAAAAAGAATGATGCTTGTTGTCAGTGTGTGTGTGTGGTATGACTGCTTTCTCTTTTGCCGAGCTATGCAGTTCATACATTTATATGTATATTGTACTTTTTTCGGTTATATACTATACATTCCAGTTTCTCTGTCTTCTGTTTGCTTTTTTGGAATGATAGAGATTCACACTGTTTGAAATGAATGCATGCATGGGTGTATGCATGCACACGCACGTGCACACGTGTGCTTAAATGCATGGTGGTTGTGGTGGTTTTCATTATCATCTGATGGTGTGTTGATGG